CTGGCAGCCTCTCGGGGACACCTCGTCCCCTGCCGCTGCCTGTGGGGTTGCGCGTGAGACATGGTGGTGGCAAGTTGGTGGGTCCTTCCCACCCCCAGACCCAGCTCACTGCTGGCACCTGGAAGGGAGATGGGAAGGAAAGGAGGCTCTGGAAAGCTGTCGCTGTGGGATGAGGTTGGATGTTCCTCAGGAGAAGTTTTGGGCTCCAGAGCTGATGACTGCCTTCTCTTACCCTGACATGTTTAGACATCAGGTCAACCTCAGGCTTTCCACCCGCATTTGTTCCATGCTTGTTTCTTTCTTTTTCGATCACTTTGGAGCGTCAGGAACTATTTCACTATTAGGTTGAGTGCTGGATGACGTAATTAAAATTCAGAGTAATTCAGAGTTCTTGTTAGCTAAGTAGCTTTGTGATGACAAGCTAAATGTCACACATTTCCTGGTCTTCAGCTCCCAGCCCACTGTCCATGGAGAGCGAGTTTGGGTTTTTTTAACAGCTTCATGGGTCCTGGGCTCTACTCCACTGTCAGCTGGTTGTGTTTTTATTTTGGTGGGGGTTTTTTGTTTGTTTTTTTAAAAAAATCCTGACATTTCTTTTTTCAGGACTGTTCTCAAATATCTGGTTATGGCGAGGTGTCGCTGGAGCCCTTACTGGTGCTGTCATTTTGATATTGTGTATTCAGTTTGGTAAGTGTGTAAATCATTTAAAAAGAAAATACAATTAGCCTTAGAAATTAACAGAGTTTTAGGTTGTCAGAAGTCCCTCAAAACCTCAAACATTTTATTGAGACCTTACCTTATCTCAAAGTTAAATAGATGTCTCATAACGTATTGTTTAAAATTGCTGTCAAGTGCTGGAGAAATTACTCTGCTATTGCAGTGGTGTTAGGGAGTGCTCAGTTTAGTTTTAGTGCACTTCTGGCATTTTGGTTTATAACCTCACTGTCCAAGTTCAAGAAAACAAGTAACAGATGGAAGTTCATTCTTTGCAACCAATCTGTAGTCCTTCAAAAAATGACAGTGTAATAAACAAAGCTATTTTGCAACACTTGCAAAAACTGTAGGTCAGAAAAATTGAAGTTGTAGAAGAGTCCTTGGAGGATATATTATCACCTTCTCAGCTACCTCTACCAGCCTGTCCCTGATCATCACTCTAAAGGTATGTCAGCAAACATAAGGGTGCAGGAGCCAGAGTATATAATTAGTTCACAATAATTATTTCTGCTGGGCAGAACTAATAACACTATGGTTAGACTTAGATTATTTAAGACGATGCAGTCAGAAAGCAAGCTAAAAAGCTCCAGAAACCTTTTTCAGTTGGAAGAAATAGGTAGATTGTTTTTTGTCTTTTCACAGTAAACCGTTCTTCAGCCAAAGATTTTCCTGTCTGTCCTTCCCTGGAACTCTGTCCATCAGGTTGGCTGTATTTCCAGAGGAAATGCTACTACCTCTCGGAGAGTGAAGCCAACTGGAACTCCAGTCAGAGCCTCTGCTCTTTGCACAATGCTTCCCTCCTGGTGATTGAAAATCATCAGGAACTGGTAAGGGAACAAAAGGGGGGTCCTGGTTTCACCCCATCTCACTTTTAGGGAGCTGCACAATGAACCAGTGTGTTCTTCCAGCCTCTTTAGCTGAACGGTTTGAAAGCTGATGCAAAGATCATGACGAGTCACAGCTTGCAGAAAGCTATGTGCCTCCTGTCCCTGCAAACATGAGTTTAGCAGTTGATGTTTTAGAAAATGACCGAGGCTTATCTGAGTTAAATTAGATGTTGCTCACCGCTATAAATATGCACATTGAAGGCAGCTGTGAGGGTAAGCGCTGTTGTGTCTCATTTATCTTTAACTAGACAACTGTTTTCTCCTTTCAAGGTAGGTTAATGACAACCAAGTTGGTAAATATGTTAATCTTGATCTTTGGAGTTAGGAGATAGTTATCCTAACCACAGTTTGGAGCATCTTTTTGTGTATTTTACTACGATGTTAAGAAAGATTCCACCTAGGAGAATAAGTTCTTCCATATCTGTTACAGACCTTGATAGCACTTGCTGCAGTATTTTAAAACAGCCTTTCTCCAGAGTAGAGCACATCACAGACACCAGTATAATGGGCATTCTGGATGCAGATGCCAATCCAGTTGCACACGCAGTGCCAAGGATCTTCCTTTACTAATCTCTAAAACGTGTTCCGCAAATCCTTGCTAGCTGATAATAGTCAGTATGACAAACACATCAGAGATGGAGAAGTGCGTTACCCACAAAGGTGTTTGTTGTTCTTTGAAACTTTCCTTGTGGAGAGACAGTAAAACGATGCATTTATAGTTCCACAGCAGTTCTTAATATTCAGTAGTACACTTGTGTTCTTGGGGCATTTTTATTGCTACAATATCTGAGTGCTGCAGGGATCCTGTCTCAAAATTAATCCACTTGATTTCTGATTAGTTTTAAGTTCTTTTTCAGTTTTGTGGATCACACAGATCCAGATGCTGCAGTACTCTGTAGATTTAATTTTTAATGTTTTATCTTCTGGGAGAAAGGCAAGATCATTGTTTTGCTTTCTAGCCCTTGTATTGTGCTAACTGGACTGAAAATGCAAAACTTCTTTTCTCATATTGGTTTATTCCTACAGAGTTTTATGGTGAAGATAACAAAGCAAGACCCATGGATTGGACTCTATAAAAGAAATGAAGAGTTCTTTTGGGTAAATGGGAGAGCATTAGACAATAAACTGTAAGTTGATGTTGAGGGGTTTGCTGGTGATACTAGATTATAGGGGAGTATGAGAGGATAACTAATACAGATATAGACAACAACTTCAAAGAAATATATGTAATGATGTTGAAGAGATGACTATGGAGAGAGCATGGAATACAATAAAGATTTAATGTAGCATTGTTAAAACTGTGATGGATGATAGTTAGGAGATAAATTTGTAAAGTCAGGTTCAGAAGCAACATGAAAGGCAAGCTACTGGTAACAGAGAGTAGCAAAGTTAAAGTTAAACCAAGAGACCACCAAGATATCAAAGCAACAGGGGGAGGAATGAGAGATTACAATAACACAAATTCCTCATTATAGAATATATTTTGCAGAAGTGCAAATGTGCATGCAACCTGCATGAGGTTTATAGCAAAGATATTTGGGAGGCTTCTAAGAGATGTTTTCATACTTCTTGTAGAATGTGCCTATAAAAAAGGCAGCTGGAGGAAAAGGTGAAACTATGAATTTATGTTTCATGAGCTGCTCTGTGGTCATGGCTCTGTGTTCTGTCCCACTGGTGTCAGGTGTGGGGCAGTTTGTTCCTCCCACCGATGGCTGTTCCATCTCAGAGACTGCTACTTCTCATCCTGAGGCAGATACTGACAGGGGTTGATAGAATTACCAGTGAGAATAATAAGCATTGAGATTTCACAGGTCTGAAATTAACAGTGGAAAATCTAAATACTCTTAAGCTTGTGATCGTACTAATGGTGTGTGACTATATTCAGTTTATCCCCAAAACTTGAGGCCTTGATCTGACCTTAGCATTTAATGTGAGAGGAGAACAGCATGTAGGCATCCCAAGTTGAAAATTGCAGTCCTTCCCACTCTTGCTTATCACGTGCTTGTAATACAAACATCCACTCATGCTTTCATTTTCAGTGTTGAAGATCTTTACATTCTTAGACTTCTGCCTCTGTGCGTGCCTCAAACTGCTCCTCCTGTCTTTAGAAGGGTGATCATCTTGATGTCTAAGCTCAGTTGCTATTAGAGTCGTGTTAACACTGGTGGGGATTTGTCCCTTGGCTTTTCCAGAGACCCTGCTGGTTTGGTTGACCTATTCACGGAACACTGTAAGACTTTGAAAATTGAGTTGGTGAAGGAGACCCTGACCTCTTACGTAGGGACACCTATGGTGTGGAAACGGAGATTCACTTCCTGTTTTCCACCACCCCCTTAACCAGAATGCCTTGTTTGGTTCTGAGGAAGAGAGAAATGAGAGAGGCATTTGTTTCACAGCTTCTGCTGGAACTTTTTGGCTGTACAGAAGGATGTGGGAGTCAAAGGTAGAGCCAGTCTTGATAGCACAGCATCCTTGAGAAGGCTAAACCTGAATTCCAGTCTCTCCTTTAAGGGTGTATTTTACATTAAGCAACCACTAGACAAGGTGCAGGAGTACTGTAAGTCCTAGATTTTGTATTCTGAGGGCCAAGTCCCATTAAAAAAGACAGTCTTTGTGGTGGTCTCTTCAAAGCACAAGCTATGATCCTCCTGTGATGCCTGGCCTGTGGTAAATCAGGCGTTGTACAAAGGGAACCTTGATCCCTTTGGTTCCCTTCTCTCTATTGCATTATTTGATTGTGGGTGTCAAAGTAATCGTGTCTCTCATTCTCCCTTACAGGATTGAAGTAAAAGGCTCTGGAAACTGTGCCTATCTTGAGTCAAAAGGAGTCTCGGCCTCTGGGTGTTATTTAACAAGGAAGTGGGTCTGTAGCATGACTATTAACTTGGCACAGTAAAGGTGGATGAAGCCACCAACCCTGACACTTAGGGCTGTGATATGATGTCTACACAAGCTAGGTCTATACTCTGGGAACACGTCTCAGCTCCTCCCTGGAGGTGAATGACTTTTCTGGTAGCCAGAACTCTCCACCCATGGAGGAAGCCTCTGTTTTTAAAAGATATTTAAAAGCCTTGCTTTGACGTCATGATAAGTCATTTCCTCACCCCATTTTTCTAGCTACTGCTCAGCCTGTAGTTTCTTTTTGTTGTGTTATCAGTATTTCTTCCATTAACTCTTCTCTTGTGGGATCCTGAGCAGCTGCTCTTTCTTTTCCTTTTTGGTATGCAGTTGTGGAGGTATTTGTTCTGCTTTTCCCTTCGCCCAGCTCTGTGTGCAGGGATGGGCTGTGGCGTGGATCCGCCTGAAGGTCTGCCGGTGCCTCTCGGATACAGGGCGATGCAAGAACTGAGCACTGTTGTTTTAAACAGGATCATTGTGGATTTCACTCCCCTCATTTGCTGGGATGCATGTAGCTGCACAGCACCCAAAGTTCTCCTTCCCACAGCACTTACCTTAGCCAAAAAGCATCAGAATAGATATTTATTTACCTGAGCATCTGCACTGATGGGGAAAAAGTGTTTGAACTGGAAAAGTAATAGTGAAGCTCTAGGCATTAATGTTGTAAAGTTAGAAATCGTCCTCAGTGCAAACAGGCAAAATCGTGAGTAGAGAATAAGAGAATGAACAGCAAAGGATGTTTCTCTGTGGTTTCCTTGTGTCCTGTGCTTGTCGGAGCATGAGGCTTCTGAACAAGTGGTACATTTCTGAATGGACAATCAGTGTTTTGTTCTGTGTGTGATCATGTTGCTTTCAGCAGCAGCACCCAGTGCTGTTGAATTGTTGTGAGCCTGAACAGAATTCGGGCAGAATCCTAGAATCACTTGGTTGGAAAAGACCTTCAAAATCATCAAGTCCAACCATACCTGTCCACTACTAAACCATATCTCTAAACATCTCATCTGCCTGTCTTTTAAATACCTCCAGGGATGGTGACTCAACCACTTCCCTAGGTAGCCCGTTCCAGTGTCTGACAACCCTTTCAGTTAATAAATTTTTCCTGACATCCAATCTGTACCTCCCTTGGTGCAACTTGAGGCCATTTCCTCTTGTTGTATCACCTGTTACTTGGGAGAAAAGACACACACCTGCCTCACTACACCCTCCTTTCAGGTAGTTGTAGAGAGTGAGAAGGTCTCCCTTCAGCCTTCTTTTCTCCAGGCTAAACAACCCCAGTTTCCTCAGCCGCTCTCCATAAGGCTTGTGCTCCAGACCCTTCACCAGCTTCACTGCCCTTCTCTGGACACGCTCCAGTGCCTCCAGATCCTGCTGAGCTCTGTCCACTTGTGTCTAGCAGGTACCCTAAAGCGACGTTTGACCCAGAGGAAACAAAGCAGATTATTTTCTTGGAGGGACTATTCCTACTGGGTTTCTAGAGAAGGAAGAATGGGGAATTTTTATGTATAACAGGGCAAAATACTTCCCTGTTTGGAATAAAATCTGGAAAACTGTTTTTCTTATGATCGGGGTGCTACATAGAGGTATTTAAAAGACGTGTCAATGTGGAGCTTAGGGACATGGTTTAGTGGTGGACTTGGCAGTGTTTGTTAGGTTTATGGTTGGACTTGATCTTAAAGGTCTTTTCCAGTAGAAATGATTCTGTAGAGAGGACTATGGACTCTGCAGGACTTCTTAAAATAGCAAGTGGAGCCATTTTTGGAGGAGCCACTAGAGCGCACTGTAGTTTCAGGGAAGGGAAGATAATTGTGTCTTCTCGTGTTTTATGAATGTAAAACGGCACCATGTTTGATGGGTTATTTGGAGTCTTGTTTCTTTGTCCTATTTGTAATTATTTTTGTCATTTATGCAAATTTCAATTGCTGCCTAGTTTTGTTCAGTATCTTTTATGTTTCATTATTTTCTGACAGTAGAACTTCACTGTAACAGGACCGTGCAGTATGGATATTGTTACCAACTTGTGACTTTAAGATGTTTATTTATATATGATCACTAATTTTGCTGAACTACACTTTTAAAAATTGCTTGTATTCTTTATAGACACAGTAACAGGACTCTACAATATGAACAGCCTAATAATCTCTCTGTTAATTTATATGTAACTAGTTGAGGGGGGTTATTCTTTAATGTTTTTAAATTAACTAGCTCTGAAAAATATGGTATGTGCAATAGTCCTGAAAAGATACTGAATAAATATTGTTACAGAGCCTCTGAATTGCAGTGGTTTATGTCTTAATATTGTGCCATTAAAAGTAGTTTTCAGCTCAGGCACCATTTGAGTGGGGTGGGGGAATCACCAGGCTGAAGCAAAATAACATTTTTCAGGTTTTGAATATGAAATGAACTTCAATAAATGTTGTTGAAGTTGACATTAAACAAGACGTTTGACCCAAAAAAGAATTCATTTCATTTTCTAACACTTCTAACACATTTTCACATTTCGAAATGTGTCAGACTTTTAACAAAAGCGTTTAACTGAAATGCTGAAATACTTCTGTGGAGATGCTGAAATGTGCATAGTGGAACACGCACAGTACAGTGACTTTGGAGGGAAACAGAATTTTCTGCAGTTCAGTATTGCAAATGTTCCCAGTGTTTGCATTAGGGGTATCCTAGAGGTACATTTCACAAATTTGGTAGAAATTGTAAGGGTTAAGGAATATTTTCATACCATGTTGTGTCTTACCCTTTCTTAATGAGCTAATTTAACTGAATGGTTCCTTTAACTACAAAATAATGTTGCTCTTACTTTTCTTTGGATTAGTGTCAACTATGGATAGAGTCCAAAAAATGTGACGTTTTGGTTCTTAAAGGAGGTTTTGAAGAAACTGTGAGCACAGTACGTTACAGTGAAAGCTCCTGACTCTTAATGGGTACAATTCGCATCTTTAGTATCGAGAGTTTGTAATGCTAAGAAATGAAGGGTCAGGCTGCAAATGCTTTAATCAGAGTGGGACTTAATGCAAGTACTTCACTTCAATGGCCTTTTTTTTTTTTTTTTAAAGTGGTGGAATTGCTCAAGATTTAGTGACTGCTTAAAATGTAGGTAAGAGCTTCAGTAAGGCCCTGCAAAACCATGTTTAATTATGTTAGTAATAGCGAGAATGCTATGTTTCACTAATACTGTTAAAACCTAAACACCACAACCAATTTGAGAGAAACCAACTCAGGAATTTAAGTTTTTCTTGTTAAATTCAGTCTGGCTTGAGAAATGTCTGCCATGAAAACAGTAATTCGGCAGTTGTCTCCAATGCATGGAGAAGGGTGTGCTGTGTAAGTACCCTGAAGTTATATTTTCTCAATGGTGAATATATCTCTATATATAAATAGAAAGCTATGTTATAGGTATAGATAGATAGATATATCTTACTCAGTTCGGATTATTTGCTTTTACTTTTCTGTCTAGAATAAACAAGTCAGTCCTCTTCCCCACACACATGCTGCACTGAGTTTGGGGGATTTTTTTGTTCTTGTGTTTTTTAGCATGAGAACAACAGCAGTCTTTTAAAATGAGTCTTTAGCTGCTGATGCTGCATTTTGCAGGATACATCTGTGTTGTGTTTTTGTTTGAAAGGAAGACAGCCATGCTGAAGGTACAGTTCACTTTTTAATCTGTAGCCCTTTCAAAGTCCTTGTGAAGAGCCATTGTGCTGTGCCTGTGGATCAGAGCAGACTGCATCCATCACGTGCTTGGTGTCTCTTTCCGCTGAAGATCTCTACGTGTTTACAGCTCTCACTTATACACACCTACTACCTTCCTGGTATCTCTCTGTCCGTAAATAAGTGAGGTGTTTACCCGTCAGTGTCTAGATGGAGGGGTGTCAGTCTGTTGTTGTTACCATATTGCTCATGAACCTTTTGTTCCACAGCTGCAGTCACCTGTGTACTAAAGCCATGGTACTTCACACCAAGAGCTCATGTGCAAGCATATCTCTTGGTTACTCATCACAAGACATTAACGACAGCCCTCTGTAGGGGCACTAGATTCTAGTGCAGCTACAAGACAATGTACCTGCAAAACTGCAGCTGCCTTTAATAATGTGTATTGTAGCAAAGATGAGATAAAGGCTCTACATTTCAAAAGCCACCTTGGAGTTGTTTCTCTCTCTCATTGCTAGTAAGGACTTTATTTCCAGTCTGTGTGGTTTTTGTTGGAGTAGCACCTTGGATTTTCATGTTAGGTGTTTTGTTTTTCTCTCCAAACACAGCTCTCCCCATGTGGCTAGTGTAAAAGTACATAAAGTTATAGTAAAACCCTGGGAACTTAAAATCTCCCCCTGGCTAGTCTCAAAACGGGCTTGAGGTCCCTTCTGCTATAAATTACTGCATAGCTCTATGAAAAGAGGTAAGAACTCAGCTGCTTATTGTGAAAAGAGCAACATAGTAGAGTTAACTTCAGGGGCATTTGAAGAGATCCTGCCTGAAATCAAATTATGCTGGGTAAAATGAAAATTTACTTAAGCAACCCTGCCTGTAAACACAGAGAAGTAGAGTTTATACCTTTGCAATTCAGCAGTATGAAAGTAGGAAAGTGCCACGGCTGCTTTGCCCCACGGTCTGAGAATATGAGACTAGAGATTCACAGTTTAGAAAGGGGACTAACTTTTGAGCTTTTTTAATACTGGCTTTCACATCAGAAATGTTTGATACTGTATTCAAAGAAAAAGTTGCTTCAGTTACCAGTTGAATTGTCCAACCTGTCATGTAGATACAGGATTTGGATGTCCCATCCAGGAGGGGACATGGCTGGAGACAGGTACATCTTTGACATACCTCAGGCAGAGGCCAAAGATCCAGGGAGTAACAAGAGAGGCTGGTGAGGACCCTTAAAGCTTGTTAGGCCACCTAGGGCCCTGGCAATACCCAAGAGGAGGTACATAGTTTGCAAACAGGAGGAAAAAAGTTTTATTACATCTCCACTTCCATTTTCCCCTATGTTGTTTTTTTTAATTTCCTTGTTTACACATTGCTTGTTTTCCTCACTGTTGCAACACAAGTCACTGGAAATAATAGCTCAAAAATGGTACAAATGTTTGCTTTGCATTTGGTCACTCTGATTTCAAAGATACGTGCTAGCTACAGATCTAGAGGAGTTACTACCTTTATTAGACTAAGGTGTTTTTAAAATCTGAAACAAATGAAGTGTTTGATTTTTTTAAAAATCAATTAATGGCATTTGTTCTTTTTTTAAAAAATATATAAATCTAATAAAGGTGCTAAGACCGACTGCTCTTAGCATTTGTATATTCTAGGTCCAGAAAGAGCATGTATCTATGACACTTAAATGCCCAAGTAATGTATTTACTGAGTGTACCCACAGGCATTAATTTCACCAGCCTTTATCTTTTACCTTCAGTATCTCATCATCATACCTTCGGGCAGTATCTGTGGTTCCACATCAAAGAATCTGCAGCTTAAAATAACAAAATATAGGTGGAAAGGCAGGCTCTCATCTTCATTTCCTTGCACTGAAATGTTATCTTATGGTCCAAGCCTATCCATAGCTAAGAGCTTGCTTTCAGATCCCAAGGTTCAACCTCAGAAGAAGATGGGAGCCATCAACTTACTAACCACAAGTGTTTGTGCTTGGTCTGGTATCTGTATACCCAGCAGCCATGCAGGTCAGCTCTGAATAAGTATAAGACACTGTCTAATAAATGTGTTTTTCCTGGCTATCAAGTGGCTTCTGTTAAGTCCTAATTAGCCTGTAAGGAAAAAAAAAAACACAGACTCCAGAAAACCACTAAAATATTGAAACCCAAATAAAAGTTTCTTCAGCTCAGCAGTAGCTGCCTCAGAGATGTGTGGAACAGCCGTGGGCTCCAACATACTCTTCAGCCCTCACAGATGGCATCTTTCCAGCACATCACACAGTTCATCTGCACAGTGCTCATCCTTGCCTGAGTACCTCTTCCCTGGCCTTTACTAGAGGCAGATGCTGTGAACATCTGTCTGTGGGAAGTCTCAGCATCCTCAAATCCACACACGCTGACTTGCAGTCCTGTTGCACGACCTTCACACCGACACCTGGCAACTTTGGAGTTCCCTGTTTACATCACACAAAGCCTTAGGGAGCACAGAACAGTGAAATGCAAAATTCTGTGCAAGTCTCATAAAATTATTTACATCATGTTGTTTTACCCATAAAGTGGGTCTTCTGACAAAAAGCTCTGGTAGTTGTCTGACAATTTGGCTCAGAGCATCAACAAAGTTGCATTCTTCTTACAGATCCACTTCTTTAGAGTCTGGCAGTTATCTGCTTGGATCATGTTTTTCCTTCTGTAAACAGCACAGTTCTTGTCAGTCTCTATTCTATTTGTATCCATCCTGGTAAGAGAACAAAAGGAATGCAATGAGTTGTCAGTTTTAAATTCAGTACTGGGTAAAAATATTGATAATCTCTTGAGTGAGGGGTTTGTGTGATGCCCATTCAGTAACTCAGTGAAGCACAGTTCCTCAACGGCCATGCGTAGCTGGGATGGGCACCCACGGCAGAGACTGCTGGCTGCTGAGGGGTTGATGCTCATGAATGTAAGTGTAAGAAGCATGAGAAAACCTCCACATGCAGCCACAATACTGAACTGTAATGGTGAAAGGGAGGAGAAGGACCCCTCAGCTGCACAGATCCTACCACCCACGCTATGTGGCACGGCTCACGTTTAACAGAGGTGGTATACATGGTCTGTACACTGAGAGTTTGTTGACAGTTATTTCAGTGAGAGAAACGTGCATTAATGTTTCTCTGCATTAATACATAAACTGTGACTGTGGTTGATCTTGAAGGCAGAAAACAAATCTATTTCCAGAGGTATCCAGCAGGAACCAATTAACCTGGAACTGGCCATGATACAGACACTGAATAGGTGCCTGAGGCTACAGGACTAGATCTGTGCTTTGGGAAATAAGCTTGGATTCAGAGTTGTATTTACATGCACAGTACCACACCTTAGCTTTTGCCAAAGACACTGTCCCCCCACAAATCATCACCTGTCTTCTTTTACTCCACGATCTTCAATGGAACTCCATTTTTTTTTCATGTCTTGAATCTTCAACCCAATCCAGATATATTTGGTATCTTTCTCTTTATTGTCTATGAATTCCTGTGGAACAAGTAGAAGCATGTTACCCAACAGCAGAGCTTTTCTGCTGTGCTCAGGTCACTGTCCCGACTCATGCACAGCTTTTCAGGTTGTCCCTCACGTGGGGAGCCAAGGATCCAGCTGTGGCAAAGCAGCCCATTACAATGGCCCGTATGTGTGTCACCAGACAGAGTTTCGATTCAAGCTGGTGCTCAGGCTGACTGGCTTCCTGTCAGCTTTCAAAACTCGGTGATGCTCCTCACCCTGATAAGCCAGGTTGCAAAGCCAGGTCTTTAAGGTAAAAGACCTGTTTGGCTGTTTGAATTTCCATTTAGTGGTTGAATCAGACCTCTCTTCCCAGAGCCAAGTAGTGGAAATGTGTGAGAAGTCCCCAGCATTTCCTCTTCCCACTCAAAACTATGCTGGCTTCCACATGTGCACCTCTTGTGCTTCTTCTTTTCAGCTCTACACTGTTGACCCTCTACAAAACAAGCTCCAGTTAGCAGAGAGTCAGATGCTCTGCACTTGATGGGGCTTTTGATTGCCTGCATGTACACCTGATACCTGGGCCATGCGCACCTGGTGAAATGTTTGGCTAAGGCAGATGCCTGTTGCACAATTTTAGGGATGCACAAGACTCACCATCTCAATTTCATCTTCAATGACAAGAAGCTGTGATTTCCTGGCCACACAGTTCTTCTGGCTGTCATCCCAGCTTACAGCCTCTTCGGAGAAGTAGTAACATCTCCCCCTGTGAAGTTGCCACCCTGGAGGACACAGTTCACACATTCTTCCTGTGGTTGGAGAGCAGGAACCGTTAGCTCATACCATGACTTGTTCCAGTTGCCTTGTAGTGTTTTATATTCATGTGCCTGGCTGGCTGGTCCAAAAGTGGACAATCCCTACTTCCAGCACGTGTTCGCTGGGCGTGGAGAGAAGTTTGAAGGCTCCAGTGCCACTCCTCTCCTCAGTGTCCCACTCCCTCACCGTGGTGCTATGCCCTTCTGCACTCCCACTGCACATCATCGGGCTCTCCACCTCCCTGGGCACTTGCCTGGTGGAGAGCACCAGGAGGACATAGAGGGCTGCAAAGACACTTTTTCTGCTCCCACATGCAGCCATTGTGAGGAGACACTGTGTGATATGATGTGGAGTGTGCAGAGTTGCGCATGATGTGACTGGGAAGCACAGCTACTTCAATGACCTTCAAACTACGCCCATGGAGCTGAAGAAGGAACTGTATTAAATAAGGGGAACACTGCTGTTTCCAGGTCTACTTCCTGTTTCACTCAGAGCATCTGGGAGAAACGTCCCCCACATTTTCTGTCTTGGCTTCCTCTAATGTTTTAAAGTAACATTGTTACAATCAATCCCTAGAAAAGCATTAATATTTGCCAACAAATAAGAGCTCCACAACAAAAAGACCAGGAAGGTCTTTCCCTGCCTGATCCTTGCAAAAGGGTAGGGAAGCTAAATTCCCTCCCAATCTTTGCAAACAATTATTGTCTGGAAAGTGTTCTCCAGGACAAGGGGAAGATCTGTGATATATAATATTTTTGATGCAGATAGCAAAAAGAAATACAAAGAAAGTGCTGGAAATTATTTATTACGAAAGAAGAGCAAAACTATTACCATTAAAATGTTAGTTTTCATCTTGGCATCACTTCTATGCAGCAACACCATGTTCCCTGAGTAGTACCAGTGATTTCTCATAAATTGCAGGGTGTCAGAAATGGGAACAGAGACAACAGAAGCATACACACAACCTGTCCTCTATGCTGCAAAAGAACTAATTTTCCTCACCCTGTCCATCTTCACACAGTTCCTCCATGAGCCATTTCAGGAACACCACTGAGACAGTTTTCTCTGAAGAAATGTAATTGCCAGTGCTATTTAGACCATACTGGGACAAAACTTCCAATTTTCCTGCTCTGCCCTTCAAAACTTGAACCAAAAAAAAAAAAAAAAAAAGATATTATGGTTAACAACAAGGTCAAGGAAATGCAGTCTTTGTATCCACTGTTGAACCATGAATGTGAGGATGTGTGTGTGTGTGTACATTGGTGGGGTATGCACACTCAGTTATGAGCCTACTCAGTGATTATAACTGTCTGGGAAAGGGTGTAGCCGCTGAATAATATGGACAGTACAGGAAAAGGAAATAAGTTTGTCATTTTTGATAGTTGGATATATAAAGAGTACACAATATTTTGGTGGGATTTTAGGGAGGGTTGGGAGGTAGATGTTTTTTCTGAAGTTTTTCAAGACTATTTTTGCCTAGGAAATCGATATATTCTCTGGAACAGTTCTTGTATAACTGGAGCATGCTGTGTATTATGATATTACTGATACCAGGGAAGTCTGATTAAATGAAATTATCTGATTTTAATTTTATTTGTTCAAACCTACGAAGTAATTAAGTGAAATGGTCTCAAAGTAGCACCATGGATGCAACTTCAAACATCTGAGTTAGGAAGGCCAAATGTTTTGATTGTCATAATGATTTAAAATCTGTCCCTACAGCTTTTCAGCATTTCTGATGACAAGGTAGACTGCAGCAACACCCCTTCATCTGCGCTATATACAATAAATGACAGGTAGCAAATATTCCCTTTGGAATGCTATGTTTCTTTTCCTGTATTTGTGTATAACTTGACACCTTTAATGTGACACTATGGGAATTTTTCTTTTGGCATCACTCTGCTTGTGAGTTTTCACCATGTCTCTGACAAAGCAGTGAAGCAGCTGGTAGGATCTACTCACATTGCTTGGCTAGCACAGCTATGACACCCAGGAGGATGAGCACAAGGACCCCCAGGACCAGTGCCAAGTAGAACCAGGCTGAGCACCCGTGTCGGCAGCCTGGAAGGAAGCATTTTTCAGGTCTTTGCTCTATTAAAATCAGCAGCATCTTTATGTATGACAGTTTCTTATGTGGAAATAACAGAGAAATCATTTGCTTAAAATCAGTTTGCTGTTTGAAGTATGTGAGCACATTTTACTTATTAAAACTTTGCATCCATTTTGCACACATGAAAGCGAAGCCAAAAGATCATTCTGTTAGTGCAAGTGATTTTCAATCTATCATTCCATTAAGAATTCTCTCTTTCTCCTTTGAGTTATTTTTTTCAGGTGTTGCCTCCTCCCACCTACCCACTCTCACCCTCAAAGGCCCTGCAGAGCAGTTCAGGAAAAGAATCAGGGTTGGTCTCTGGTATGTTCCTCCTCTCTGGTCATGCTCTCCTGTGTTACTGTGCCTGTTGTGGCTGAAAGCTAACTTACCTGAATGCACAGAAAAGGCAAAAAAATCTCATAGTGACACCGTAGCACAGTGAAGCACATCTGACCAAGCACCTCTCCAGCTGTTTGGCGTTCATCACCTCGTGAGAGTGAAACACTCAGGAAGAGGCAGGACCGGAAGAAATTTGGGGTGAAGGTGCTATTTCCACAAGCCACAGAGTTGCACTTTCATAACTGCTGTTTTCCTGACCTTGCCTGGGTGAGAGGAGCAACTGCCCCATTTTCCAGCTGCCTGAGGTGCATTTTGTAATCATAGAATCATACAATCACAGAATGGTTTGGGTTGGAAGGGACCTTAAAGATCATATAGTTCCAACCCCCCTGCCATCAGCAGGGACACTGTTCCCTTTTAGTGGCATTCTGTGGGCCTGACCTTGTCTGGCACACGTCCTTCAGTACAGAGAGGGTGGCAATCATCAGTGCACTAGCTGCACATAGAGACCTGGGTACTACACTACTTCCAAATCCTAATGTGTCCCTGGGACTGTTCCTGCAGAGATACTTACAGGAAAGCTCCTAAAAAAATGTGGAATTTTACTTTCCTTTGCTAAATTTTCAATTTAGGGTGCAAAGGCATTCTTAAAAATTATTTTTAAAATCTCTTTCAAAATTATTTTTACAAGGAAAGTGTCTAATCTGAGAACCCAGTCCGAAAAAAACGTATGACATGATAAATCCGTCCTTTATTGAGAGATTGTACGTAAGCACTCTTGATAACAGGTTTTACTGTTGGGTAATAGGAAAGACTAAATCTATAATTAGTAACCAACAACCAAACAAAACAGCACACTACCAGAAGCGGAAGTCTCTGATCTGCTGCTCCCTTTGGGTTTCGGCTTCACACGCAGCTCGGCATATGTGATGGTGTTTCCTGTAAGGAGTAGGGAAATGCTGACATTTGTGGTTGTGCAAGCCATTAAGTGGAGAAACAATAAAGAATTACACAGAAGACCGAGTCTGTTGAAAAAGGGGCATGTGTTTCTAGAGCTGCTAGTTCAGCTTTTTGCTTTTTTTTTTTTTTTCTGTTTGAAAGAAACAACATGCAAGATGATGACTTATCATTTCCTGCTGCTGTCAGGAAGTAACTAAAAGCCTCCTCCATAATCTTTGCTTGAACTACTTGGGTCCTGTGTGGCTGGACCAGGAGGCAGACAGACAGACTGAAGGATGGGTAAGACCTGGGTACTATCTGTAGCAAACATCCCGTTTGTTACTAAGCCATCTTGGGAGGTGTCGTAGGGGCTGAAGGGGCACCAGAGCCACGATTGCTTTGTGGAGCAGGGAGACCCCAAAGGGAAAACTGCTGCTCAGA